AGCCCCGCCTCGGAATGCTAGGATGATGCATGCTCGACTCGCCCCGCCCGGAAACCCGTGCCATGCCACTGTTGCCTCTGTTTACACTGCCTTGCTCCTCTGAAAATTCTGAAAGTCCCCAGACCCATTTTGAATCACCCTCTGAGTGCTCTGGGGTATCACCGGCCACAATTCAAGTTCACCGGCCATGGGGATGGGCTTATCGACCAAAAGTTACACCACCGGCTGGACATTTATGGTCGGTCGGCACTGTATGTGGCCGGCCGGCCATTTCTTCCTGCAAAAACCTGTTTTTGACAGCAACAGAGGGCAGACAGTGCATGGCAAGGAAATTCAAAGCAATGTATGCGTGGCCACTCTCCCAATCATGCTATGGACTCATGGGAGTGTGACCCTCGATACTCGGGCCACCAATCACACATTTCGATGCATGATGGCCTAAGACACCAAGTTTCCAACTTAATGTAGATGCATGCATAAAAGAGATGAATGCCTTATGCCCTATCATGTTGGGTTCAAGGGCATTGGCGACCGAGGTTTGAGGCGTGTTTCATCACTTTGAGTACGAACGCACCTCACCCCTCATGCTTGGTTTGACACCCCAAACCAAACCATGCAATGCATGTATACAAACATGGCTCAAAAATGCAATGTGGCTCGAATATGCAACATGAGGTTAAGTTACAAGGCATGCCAAATGCAAGGTGACCTATTATGCAAGAATGTAATGTGCCAAGTATGCAATGCTACAATGCGATGCAACCTAACATGTGATGCAAGCATGGTATAATGTAAGCATGTAATTAGAGGCAATATGTCAAACATGCAACTATACACAATGAGGGACTTAAACCGAAATGGGAGGCCTCCGCCACACCCCAAAACAGTGGCCAAAAGATTATGCAAAATGAGACAAATTATGCATGCAATACTACAACAAAAAGCAGTTTTGGCAACCAAAAATGTAAATTTCGTCGCTGAAAGTAGGACAATTAGCTATTAAAATTGTATTAGTAGCCAAAAGTGAAGACTTTTGGCGACTAAAACAGTTTAGTAGCCAAATGTGTACTTATTGGCGACTGAAAATCAGATTAGTCGCTGATTACATGGGTTTTAGCGACTAAAACAATTTTAGTAGCCAAAGGTGAAGGTTTTTGGCGACTAAAAAAGATTAGTAGCCAAAAGTATAGGCTTTGGCGACTAAAAAATGGTTTGGTCGCCGATTGTAGGTGTTTTGCCGACAAAAAAAAATGTTGTAGCCAAATGTAAAGGTTTTTGGCTACTAAAAAATTTTTAGTAGCTAAAAGTGGACAATTGGTGACTAAAATTGAGTTTAGTCGGCAAAAGTGGCGGTTTTGGCGACTAAAAATCAGTTTAGTCGCCGAAAGTGGTTATTTTTAGACGGAAATTAATTTTTTTAGCGACTAAATTATTGGTAGTAGCCAAAACTAAGGTTTTGGCGACTAAAAAAAAACTTTAGTCGCTAAAGTGGCTCCCTTTTTTTTTAATAATAATTTATTTTTTACTAAATTAATATTGAATAAAAATAATTATATTTATATATATATAGTTTTAAATTAATACGGGTCAATATACTATATAAATAATATATATTGCATATATATTCATGTGATCTTGTGGTGGCATAGTGGAGGGAGTGTGTTGGTAAAGGTGTACAAAGTAGAAGGTCCGTGGTTCGAATCTCAGAAAAAGCAAAAAAGTTGGTAATTTTTTTTTTCACGGAAGCACCTTTGGCGACTAAAATTATTAGTCGCCAAAAGTCTTTATTTTGGCGACTAAATGGATTAGTCGGCGATTCAGTGAGTATTGGCGACTAAAGGATTAGTCGCTAAATATATGATTTTGAAAAGTGTAAATCACTATTGGTGACTAAAATGTTGGTCGCGAAAGAGCTGCTTTTTGGCGACTAAAAAAGTTTTAGTCGCCAATACCTCTGCCGACCATCTATACGCGACAAAACCAGCGACTAAAAAAATTAGTCGGGGAAAGTAAAAAGTCGACATTTGGTGACTAAAAATTTAGTCGCCAAAGGTGCTTTTTCTTGTAGTGCAAGTGTGCACACACCAAGGCCCATCACCCAAGCATGGAGGGCTACTCTCAAGAACACTCAAAGGTGATATACATGGACATTAAACACTCATGTTAAACTCTGAAAAGCATGCCAAGAATGATGCCAAAACATGCTAGGGAATGGATGCAAAAATGGAAGGGATTCAAGGCCACAAAAGAGAGCATTGCTCAACACCTACCCCAAGCACTCATGGCGTGAACTAAGAAACCAAAAACAGAGTTTCTATGCATCAAAATACACCCCAAAACCCACTGATATGGTAGCCTCAAATGCCTAAACATGGTATCATGCACAATGACTCATTTCTAGGCATAAAAGAACAATCCTTCAAGGCATGAAAGGGATAATGAATGCAAGCATATAAGCATGGATTAGGGACTGAAACAGCATAAGAAGTGATTTCAAATCACTGAAATAACCCGACTAAAGCATGCTCATGACTCACACCCTCAAGACTCACAAGCCAAAATACAAAGAGGCTACCCTAAACACGGCAAATATGACCAAAACAGTTCCCAACAGACCTCAAGCATGGTAAGACATGGCTAAGAACTTCACAAAGTTAGGCCAAAACATGAGAGTATGGTAGACTAAATACATGATGCACTTCTAGGCAAAAGAGAGGAATACAAAGCAAGTATATTAAGCATGGAAGGGGTCACTAATCCGACCAAAAACAGAGGCATAATATGACCCAATAACACCCAAAAATCTCTGAAATGAAGCCAAGAACAACTAATCATATATGCACCCTTATGGGCAAAAAATGCAAACAAAAGAGAGACCAAGGGAGAGGGGTGTCCCTCCCCTATGCAAGACTTCAAAACCCCTTCTTCACCACTGAAAATCCACTGGATTTCAGTGGTGAGAAGGCCAATACACAAAAGTCCCCAAAGCTTATCAAAGAGAGCACAAAAAGGGCCAAACAAGGCCTAAGAGGGGGAGGTCGACCCCAAATAACAAAATGACCTTAATGAAAGATCTTAAGCATGCAAATACAAGACTTTTTTCAAGTTATACAGAAAGTCTAAAACAGCATGTAAAGTGGGTTAAAAACTAGTGCAAGATTGGGGAATATAAAGCAAATAGTGTTACCCTTGAAGAACACTTGAAGAATAGCAACCTCAGCCTCTTCCTTATGATCAAAACCAACTCAAAACTCCAAGAACAACCTCCCAACACCTCCCAAGTCGAAGTATGGTGTAATAGTAGGTGTTCTAGTGCAAAACTAAGAACAAACTACACTTTTAGGCCCTCAAACACACACAAATGAACAGAGAGAGGGAGATATAGAGAGAGAAGATATATATATCAGAATATATATGTTTTAGGTCTGATTTTGCTTAACCTCTCAAATGGAGAAGAGAGGTCTCCTTATATAGACAATGACAAAGACTAAGCTTCCAAGAGAAGCTATCCTAAAGGGGTCAAGTCTTCCAAGGGAAGCTAAGCTAAGGGTGCAAGCTTCTTGAGGAAGCTAAGACAAAGGGTCAAGCTTCCTCAAGAAGCTTGAGCAAAGGGTGCAATCTTCTAGAAGAAGTTTGGACCAAAAAGGGTGCAAAGGGGCCAAAACAGCCACACACGTGTGTGGGGGTAGGGTCTGTGCATCTCAGATGGCACAGCTGGCATGCACCATGCCTGCAAGAGGCAAAAATGTGGTACCGGCCAGAAAAGGAGGCCATTGGCCAACTAAATGGTCGGTTGACCACACCAAGTGCCGATCGGCCATCACCAATGGCCGGTGGAAATGATACATGGCCGGTGGCCTCAAGCCATGGCCGGTGAGGTGTGAGGATGGCTAATAAGCCATTCCTTACCTCCTAAAGCAAAAACCAACAAGTGTTTGGTCCAACCATGCACAAGACAACCGAGCTGAGAGATCCTGAGGCGAGACGCGCAGCCGAGACCTCCGGGAACTCAAAACGAACACGAATATGGATGATCACCGAGTGTTCAAACGGTGACGCCCAAATCTTGAGGACGGTCAAAAATGGGGTGTCTACACTATATTGCTATTGCTATAATTTGGCAATGAATAGTGCTATTTTGCCAAATTATAGCAATGGTGCTCCAATGGTCATTTGCTATTTTTGGCAAATCTCAACCAACTTTCCCTCCAAGTTTGTAGGTGTTGTTTGGATATAGGTTTTTTGTGATTTTATTTTTGTTTATTTTTTGTCTTTTGTGACATTTTTTTACCTATTTGTTAAAAAAATTATATATTTATATTATTCCCAACTAGACAAATATAAAAAATATAAAAAATGAAAAATTGGAAAAAAAAATTTGTTCGATCAATGCACCCCACCAAAAAACATATCACATCATACTTAATAAATTTTTTTAACTACACATAAAAAATAAATAATCACCAATTACCCACCAACCACCAACAACCATCCATTATTAACCCAGCATTTATTCATTAACAACTATCCACCCAACAACCACCCATTATTCATCCACCCACCCAACGACCACCCATCATTCACCCATCCACATTTTCTCTATAAATATAACACAAGGTTTTCTACAAGTTTCATATTCACCTATCCATCATTTTCATATCTTCTAAACTCTCTGTACCCACCCAGCAGATTTTCTACAATTTTCATATTCATCCACTCACCCATCCACCTACAATGAGCAATTTGACTAAAGCCATATTCAATGGAGATTTTGATGAATCTTCATTATCTGATGATGATATCATCATGATGCAACTATTCGCAACACAATAACAAAGAATATGGACGTTAAGCCTAAACCAACCCACCATACATGTTGGTTCCACAAGTGGTCGTCGATACATTAATCGTGAGAGGTCAAGGGCGACCGACAAATTTGTAGAGATTATTTTGCAGATAAACCTGTCTATCCAGAAGAATACTTCCGAAGATGTTTTCGAATGAGGCGGTCATTGTTTGTTAGTATCTTACATGATATTCAACAAGTGAATGAGTACTTTATTCAAACTCGTGATGCCACTGGTGCTCCTGGATTATCTGGTATACAGAAGATGACTGTAGCACTTCGGATCCTGCAGTACGGCATGCCCGCTGATGCTGTAGAAAAGTACATTAGAATCGACGAAAGCACTGCAATTGCCGCCTTGAATTTTTTTACCAGATCAATTGTTGCTACGTATGAATCCGTTTACTTAAGATCTCCAAATGAAGCAGATGTCACCAGATTATTGCAAGAGGGAGAGCAACGCGGGTTTCTTGGAATGTTAGGAAGTTTGGATTGTATGCACTGGCGGTGGGATAAATGTCCAACTACCCAAGCCGGTGCTTACACTGGACACTACCACAAACCAATAGTTGTACTCGAGGCAGTTGCCTCCTATGACTTGTGGATTTGGCATGCTTTCTTTGGCATGCTGGCTCTCTAAATGATATTACTGTTCTTGACAGGTCGCCTTTATTTGCTGAATTAACTAGAGGACGTGCTCCTACTGCCAACTACACCATCAATAATCACGCGTACACCATGGGGTATTATCTTGCAAATGGTATCTATCCTCGTTGGGCAACAATTGTGAAAAAAATATCTCAACCTCAAGCCGCAAAGATACAACTATTTGCGAGGATACAGGAGGCATGTCGAAAAGATGTCGAAAGGGCATTTGGAATGCTCCAAGCACGATTTAATATTGTCAGAGTTCTAGCTAGAGGTTGGAGTGATGAGGATCTATACTACATCATGAAGACGTGCATTATTTTGCACAATATGATCATTGAAGACAAGCGTGATATTGCAGAAAATGAACGCAGTGCAGCACAACTTCAGACTGAAACCAGTAATACCCGTTGTCAAGTGTCACGTGATCTGAATGAGGAGTATGCTCAATTTATGTTAAATAGGCAGAGGATTGGATCTATTGAAGGCCATCATGTAATTCGTAATGATCAAATTGAACACTTGGGGTCCCGAGCTGGAGAGTAGGATTAAGTTGTATTCTATCTTTTTAATGACAGTTCATATCATTTAATATCAATTAATGTCTTTTTATTATAATAAAATTATCATCATTTAATGTCAGCTAATGTATTTTATCTTTTTATTGCCTTCATTTGAAAATATATATTTCTTTTTTTACATTATACTTTATTGAAAATATTAAATTATAACACAAATTAGTGAACATTATACATTGAAAAAATAATATTACATTGTTTTGTAGAAAATACTAAAAAATAAAAAATAAAAACATGAAATTTCATTACAAATTAAAAATTACATTGCAAATAAAGACTAACAATTACATCAAAAATTAAATAACATTGGGGAAATAGTAATTTAGGCTGCTAACATTTGAGGACCACTTGGCGAAAATCTCATTTTTTCGCATTGTGTAATACGCTTTCATCTGAGGGTCCAAATGAGAAATGTCCGTAGTCATTATTTGGTGTTCTTCATTTCTCATCTCAAACTCATGTTTCAAATTAAAAATTACATTGCAAATAAAGACTAACAATTACATCAAAAATTAAATAACATTGGGGAAATAGTAATTTAGGCTGCTAACATTTGAGGACCACTTGGCGAAAATCTCATTTTTTCGCATTGTGTAATACGCTTTCATCTGAGGGTCCATTTCTCATCTCAAACTCATGTTTTTTTATCTCAAGTTATTTCATCTCCTGTAGTGCTTGAATCCTTTTTTCTTCTCTTTCCTCTTTGTTCTTTTCTTTCTCAGCAAGGTGTTGGTTAAATGTGTCTATTTGTGTCCTTATTTTTTGGACTTCAGTTTCAATGACTTGATTTCTTTGAAATAATTCTTTTGCAGATTTCCTACCCATCGGCCTTTTACCCCTTGCAGAGACACTGCCCTCACCAATAGTTGGATTGTTACTAACCCTTGGACTGGTGTCATCTTCAAGAGAAATGCAGTTATCCATAGGGGAATTAGGGGCTGAATCAGGGAAAAATAGTGTATGTATCCTTGACTTCACCGTATTCATAGGAGTTACATCTTGCCACCTAATATTGTTTTGCAAAATTGGCCAGCAATGTTCAAAAATAAAAATGTTTGTTTTCATCTTGATGGTATAACAATTTTGCTTGAGGCATCTATATCAAAAAAATATTAAATTAATTAATTAGTTAATTTTTATGTAAGACAAAATAAAAAAAACTAACATAATAAATAAAAATAAAATCTTACTATATCAACTTGTGATACCCCACTTGGATGTAGATTTTCGACTTGTGCTAGACATCCACGAAATTTTTTGCAACATTTCATTATTACACCCCATCGAGATGAGATAGACACCTCTGCTCTTGAGTGATCATTCTGCAGCGAGCAATAATTTTCAAAAATTCTTCCCCCAAAATAAGTATGCGATTGCAAATTTTCAACAATTGGGTCTTCAGTAATGTAACACCAAGCTCTACAAATTGTCACATCTTCTTCAATAGTAAATGATTTTCCTCTCTTTGTTTTTGATGAACCTTCCATAGTGATTGTGTGAAAAAACTAAAAATAATATAATTTCAGAAATTTAGTATGAAATCAAATTGAGATGAAGAGAGAAGAAAAGAAAAACGAAATGTGCAATGGTTGCTGTGAAAAAAAAATCAAATAAAGAGTTTCTATTTATAAAAATTCAAACAGACCTAATGGCTCTATCAAATGCCCAAACAAAGCCCAACGGCTCTATTTATAAAAAATTAAGTTTATTTTTTTAAGCCACCCACCCCCCCAGCAAATTGAGTTAATTTTTTTTTAAAGCTAAACAGAGCCCAACGACTCTATCAAATGCCATCCCCATCGTCCACGTGTTGATCTTGAATGGTTGAGATGATTTGTGTAGAATCATCAACATTTTCTTCCTCTCCCTCTCACTGTCTCTCTCATTTCCTCCTCCATGTCCCTCTCACTCTCAAATTCATCTCGCACTCTCACTCTCACTCTCTTCTCTCTTTCTTCGATCGGTGATGAAAAACATTGAATCTTCTTACTCTCTTCCCTCACTGTGTCTCTCACTCTCAGATTCGTCTCTCTCTCACTCTCACTCTCTTTTCTCTCACTCTGTCTCCTTCTCCCTCTCATTCTCACTGTCTCCATATGTCTTCTCTCTCTTCGATCGGCTATCCAGATCTACCTCTCTCTCACTGTCTTACTCTATCTCTCATCTCTCTGTCTTCGATCGGCGAATGTCTATGCTCAAAAGACGATCGGCCACTGGTGACGGTATATGCTCAAAAAGATGCTAAAAAACTAGGTATTTCTCTTTTTCAGTGAATCTGTTTAAATTTTTTCTGTGAATCTGAATGTGTTGATTTCAGGTAAAATGGTGAATTCTGAATCTGTTTGAATTTTTATTTATTTTTTCCTGTGAATCTGTTTGAATCTGAATTCTGAATCTTTTTTTTTTGTGAATCTGTTTGAATTTGATGAATCATTTGATGAATTTGTAATTTTTGAATCTATAATTTTTCTGTGAATCTATTTTTTTACCATTTGATTTCGGGTAAAATGGTAAAACGTTGCATTATTCATGAAATTTTTTAGTGGATTCTGAAACATAAAAATGGTGAAATAGTTGTTGGGGGAGGGAGGGAAAGAAGGAAGGAGGGAAACAGTTGGTTTTGGCTGAGTTGGCATAAATGGCAACTGCCAAAGCTTGTGTCAAATTTGACACAAGCTTTGGCATTTCTCAAATTTGGCAGCTATTATGTTTTGCCATTGGAGCATCAAAATTCAACACAGCTGCTATATTATAGCAATAGCAGCTCCAATGGAAAACCATTGGAGATGCTCTTAGCTGGGTCAAGGGGGGTAGGTGCGGTTGTTGTCTTCTTCCTTTAAACCTTAGAGGTTGTCGTCGGATGAGGTTTTGATGCCGATATAGTAGACGACGATTTTTGAGAAGGTCAAGGTGGTTTTCGCTGTGCCATTAACATCCAATCTCCAAACACGGGTTTAGAAGTTGCTTGGGTTGTTAGCAACTTGTCGCCAAGATTGGTTACTGAGACTAAGTCTTCCATTTGTAGTGAGTGGACTTTGGATGAGCATTTGTCTTTTGTGTGGCCCAGCAAGCCACAGTGGAAGCAGATATTATGAAGTCCTTCGTAAGCAACTCTTTGTAGAATGTTGTCGATTAGGATAGTGGGCGTTAGGGTTTTATTGAGGTCTACTTGAATACAAATTCTAGCGAATCTGCTTTTATCGCCACTTGCGGTATAGATGTCAACCTTGATGAGTTTGCCTAGTTTGTGGCCAATCCTTTCCAACACAATGCGGTCATAAAACTCAATGGGTAGGGAGGCCAGGCGAGCCCATACTACTGCAGAAGGGATGACAGCGGTTTGTGGTTGGAATTCGAGCTTCCATCTTTGAACTGAGAGGAAATTGTTACCAATATACCAAGGGTTGTTAAAAAGGACCTTGGTGAGGTCAGCTCCCTCAAAAAATTTGATCAGAAAAAAGTTGTTGCCCAGATCTAAACCGAGGCAAGTACTAGTAAGCTTCCACAATGTCTTTACCTTAGACATGAGATAGTTGCACCCGAGAGTTCTGCCAAGAAATTTGATGATAATAGAGTGTTTCCAAGGGTTTTTGATGCAGTTGCGTTCATGTCACAGCCGAAACCCGCCCCTATGAGTTTAGCATCATAACCGGCCAGTAATCCTTGGATTACCAGAGGCCTCTTAACAAAATATCATAAAGTTAGGGGCTACGGAAGCAAATATACAAAATATACGTGGTCTAATGAGCTGTGATGACATACATGGGACAAATAGACAAATAATTTAAAACTTTTGAAACTTACGAGCGAAGTCAAAAGATATAGTATTTACACATCACTCCATGAACATATAAACAGCAATCTTGCCCGCACTTAGAAAGACCAAAGTCTAGTACATTACAAAAACAGCAACTAAACTTGTTTCCATCCGGAACCTCCTCGGGAGGCACAAAGGTTGGCTAACAAAAACTTAAACATAGGCCGTCAACTTTGGGCCTGGTCACGTGTCTGCTCACCTATATACATAATATAAATAGTGAGTTGGAGCCCAGTAAACAATGACAGAGTAAAGGGTTTTAATGAATAATGTCCATACAGATTCAGAAATCATAATTTAGATTCATAACAGATTCATATTCATATTCTTGTTTAGCGCATATACAGAAATCAGAGTTCATGCTTAATCATACGTGGTACATCCATTAGCGCTAACAGAATAGATACAGAACAGATGCAGAACATATGGTGGTTATGAATAACCAGTTCCATAAAGAAATCTCCAGATCCGGGTGACAGAGAATATACATGCTGAGCTCCATGATGGAGCCTCCGGCACGGGTAACAGAGTGCAGATATAATAAGTTCCATGATGGAACCTCCGATACCGGGTAACAACTAACAGATATCACATGATGCTAAGGATGCCACGAATACATTGTCAGAAATTGGACAATCATTCATTGTACAGGACATATCATTTCAGAAAGCAGATCTTAATTCATCGTACAGAAAATAAATAAAGTTAAATATTGTTTTACTAAGTTATTACTCACAGTTGGCTTTAGGTGTAGACAAACAGAGTAGGCTAATCAAACGGTTTACGGCATGTGACCTACATTAACACATAACAAATACACATCTGAAACACACGTTGGAATATATCTAACCCATTACGTTCTTGTTCTTAGTGTGTCTCTTCATTGATCCTCCTTATTATGCCTTAATCTTGGCCTAGGAATGCCTAGGATGGAATGGGGATGCAAAAATGTATTAGAAACACTTTTTCCAAAACTTACTGAAAATAGGGTCCACGCTCGAGCGTGGCATTCCTCGCTTGAGCGAACATGCAAAAAGTGAAGGTTCGCTCGAGCATGACTTCCTTAGCTTGAGCAAACTGTAAACTCTGAAAAAATACTAGTTGCTTATTTTTTACGCTCGACGGACGCTCAATCTTCTCTCGAGCATGAGACTCAGACCCTCACTCGAGCGTGACTTCTGTCGCTCGAGCGTGCTACAAAACACATGAACTTCTGGATACATGCATTTCATGCTCGAGCGGGTATCATGTCGCTCGAGCGGAAGTGCACACATTCAGAGTGCTTCGCTCGAGCATGAACTCCTACACTCGAGCGTAGATTCAAATTCTGGAATTTCTAGATTTGATCTCTAAGCTTCAAACTCAAACTAAACAATTCAAAACTCATCCTCTTGGGCCAAAATTCTAGAAAACACTTAGAAACTCACAAAACATCATGCTTTGAAGATCATTTCGTGAAATCAAGGTGCCAATTTGCCCTTAACGCCAAACCGAGCTTGTCTTTTTATAGGGGTCACTTTTATAAACACATGGTCCCCGACTTCATATTCTCTGTCTCTTCTTCGAACATCTGTATAGCTCTTCTGACGGCTTTGTGCAATTCTCAACCTTTGTTGAATTAATTTCACATTTTCAGTTGTTTCTTCTACAAGTTCCGGTCCTAACAAAGATCTATCACCTACCTCAGCTCAACATATCAGAGGTCGGCATTTTTTTCTATATAGAGCTTCATAGGGAGCCATTTCAATGCTTGAATGGTAGCTGTTGTTGTACACAAACTCAGCCAATGGTAAATAGGTCTCCTAATTTCCTTGGAAATCTAATACGCACATTTTGAGCATATCTCCCAAAGTTTGATTGGTCTGTTCAGTTTGACCATCTGTCTGTGGGTGATAAGCACTACTCAACCTCAGTTCTGTCCCCAAAGCCTGTTGTAAACTTTACCAAGATCTTGATGTGAACTTCGAATCTCTGTCAGATACAATAGATACTGGTACACCATGTAATCTCACAATTTCATTCACATATATGTTAGCTAACTTATCTGCATTATAAATAGTTTTGACAGACAGAAAATGGGCAGATTTAGTCAAACGATCAACTATAACCCAGATAAAGTCCATATCTCGAGTAGAGCGAGGCAATCCCACAATGAAGTCCATGGTAATGTGCTCTTATTTCCATTCTGGTATTGGAAGCGGCTGTAACAAACCAGCGGGTCGTTGTTGTTCGGTGATCAATTCCAACCATCTCCTCTGTCTCATGTTTAATTCTTTTTGAGTGAAGAAATATTTGAGACTTTTATGGTCAGTATATACTTCGCAAGTGACACCATATAGATAATGTCGCCAAATTTTTAAAGCAAAAATGACGGCTGCCAATTCTAGGTCATGAGTTGGGTAATTCTTTTCATGTGGACGGAGTTGCCGAGAGGCATAAGCAATTACTTTCCATTTTGTATTAACACACACCCCAAACCTTTGTAGGAAGCATCACTGTAAATCTGAAACCCATCAGTACCATTGGGCAAAGTCAAAATTGGTACAGTTACTAGTTTGGTCTGCAACTCATGAAAGGCTGACTTTCGCTGTTCATTCCAATCAAATGATACATTTTTCTGAGTTAACTGGGTCAATGGCATGGCAAGTTTTGCAAAGTCTTTCACGAATCTTCTGTAGTAACCTGCAAGTCCTAGAAAACTTCTAACTTCTGTCACATTTATCGGTTTAGGCCAGTCCACAATAGTTTCAATTTTCTGTGGGTCAACAGAGATACCATCATTGTTGATTACATGTCCCAAAAATGTTACACTGTCATGTTAGAATTCACATTTGGATAATTTCGTATATAGTTTCTTTTCTCTTAGAATCTATAACACAGTTCTCAAATGATTCTCGTGATCTTCTATGCTTTTGGAGTAAATCAAAATATCATCAACAAATACAACAACGAATTCATTCAGAAATGATTTAAACACTCTATTCATAAGGTCCATAAAGGCAACAGGTGCATTAGTCACCCCAAATGGCATTACTAAAAATTCATAATGTTCATATCTAATTCTGAATGCAGTTTTCTCTATGTCTTCTGCCTTAACTTTTAACTGGTGATACCCAAATCTGAGGTCAATCTTGGAAAACACTTGGGCTCCCTGAAGTTGATCAAGCAAGTCACCTATTCGGGGTAGAGGGTATTTGTTCTTGATAGTTACTTTGTTCAATTCCCGATAGTCTATACATAACCTCAAAGATTCATCTTTCTTTTTGACAAATAAAACTGGAGCACCCCAAGATGAAGTGCTCAGACGGATGAATTTCTTGTTTAGCAGTTCCTGAAGTTGAGTTTTTAATTGTTTCAATTCTGAGGTTGAAATTCTATAGGGGGTCTTACAAAAAGGTTGTGTTCCCAGAGTCACTTCAATAGTGAATTTAATTTCTCTATCAACTAAGTCTCCAAGCAAGTCATTCAGAAACACATCGGGAAATTCACAAGCAACAGGAATAGTTTCCACATTAGTACTATCATATGATGCAGTCAGTATACAGCACAAGTAGCCCCTACATCCCCTCCTAAGAAATTTAACAGTTTTCATGGCCGAAATCAAGTATGGGGGAGGAACTACCCCATTTTCAGTAAAAATAAATTCAGGCATACCCGGTGGTCTAAACACAACAGATTTACTTGCACAGTCAATAGTAGCATAGTATTTAGTCAACCAGTCTATACCCAGAATACAATCAAAATTATCAATGTTTAAGGGCAGCAAGTCAACATACAATGCCATATCACCAATCATAATATCACATGCTGGATAAACATAAGCACATATCATAGAACCCCCAAACGGTGTAGATACAGATAACACATATGTCATAAGTTCTAGTGGTCTAGTTAATTTTTGAGAGAAAGCATGCGATACGAAGGAATGTGTAGAACTAGAATCTATCAGTACACATGCATTTTGAGAACATACAGGGAGTATACCTGACACCACAGTTTCAGTGTTCTGTACGTCACTAGACA